AATAAATAATCGATCTTTTTTTCTCTCTTCTCTTCACGTTCTCTCTTTCTCTCTCTTGTTTAACACCCTCAACTGATCTATCTCTTTCTCTCTCTTGTTTTGTTATTAGAGGCTATTTGTTCAAGCTTCCTCCTCCTTATTTCTTTCTTGGTGTAGTGTAATTATAGTGTGAATGCCTTTGTAATGTATACATGATTTTATCAGTTTATATTCAATCTAAATTTGATTTACTAGTGTTTTTACTTTTATTTAGTGTCTCAAGAATCATTCTTCATTGTATAATAATAACTTGTGATCTTGAAAAAAGGAAGTAAGCAAAAATTAACATTTCTTTTTCCCCTTTTTTCACATTAATTCTCAAAGAATTAAGAACTCAAAAGCTTATAGCAGTTGATCCTTGAAGGATATCAAGGAAAAATAGCTGGCAAAGAAACACAACAACTAAAAATAGTACAAAAATAGTGGTTCCAGCAACTTAACACAAAAAAAAAACAAAAGAAGAAAAATCGAATAGCCCTAAAAAATTTGCCATGAACACAAAAACATATGCAACATATCTTGGAAAACAAATTCAAGAGAGAGAGAAGGAGATAAATTCTTTGAGGGTTAACTAAGAGAGAGAAAGAGACAGATTGGTTGTGGGTGTTAACAAGAGAGAGAAAAAGAACGTGAAAAGAAGAGATAAAAAAATGATCCTTATTGCAGAGAATTCTTTCTTAATTAATTATCTCTCCCAAATGCCTAAAAAAGGAATCATGTGGTTTATAAGCGGGAGCTCTTTAGACTTTTTGCGAAAGCGCTCTCGCAATAACATTACTCTTCTTTTTATTGGTTCATCTATGCATCAAATAAGGAAGTGAGGTTTCCACTTACTTGTATTGTGCATAAATAAGCAATCAGAAACACTCGGTTAGGTAATTAACAAATCGGTGCAAGTATCGCAACTCTTTTAAGTTTTCCAACAGTTTTAGTGCTTTGGCTGATGAGACCATCATGGTAAATCATGATCATATACATTCTTGATCAAGCTGCAGATTCTCAAGTCCAGTTCTGTAATTCTACTACAATTCGTTCTGATATAGGTGAAGACCAGAGCAGTGATTATTTCTTTTGTTCATGAAGGTAACTCTCTTCTTGTGGTGTCTCTCATTCTCTAGAATCTCATGGAGACCTTATTATCAACCAAGTCAAGAAGTCTTTTACTAAAAGAAAGTCCAAAAAAAATGATTTCTCAATTTAAAAAATATGTAGGAGTGTGGAAAGCTTAGGCTCTGTTTGGCAAATGTTTTGTTTTGTTTTACGCCTGCTATAGTAGCCCATTTGAAGCCCAAAATATGTTTGAAACAGTTGCAAAACATTTTCAAATTTGGGCCTAAATTATGAAACATCATTTTGGTGTTTTTTGTTGCTTCAGTTTTATTTGTGGTAAAAAGTCTTGTAGCGGAAAAAGCAAAACCTTCATTTAACTGTAGCGGAGGCAACAATTGGAAGGAGGTATAAAAGGAAAAAGTTGTAACAATTCTAGGGTTCGCATTTTCACAAAATTGCTCTGGCGTTCTTGGCGACAACTGCTTTCCTTGGCTACTATCTTCGACGAAATAGGAAAAAGTTGAAGGACTGCTATTTTCGGCCATACTTTCCACGATCTGCTTTCCTTCGCTGCTATCTTCGACGATCTCGACAGGTTTGGACTTTGTTTGAATATCTCAGTTTTTTTTTTTTTTTTGTTTTGCGGTAATCAACAATTTGAGGTTTTTTTTTATTATTATTTTATATATCTAATTAACATACATGAACATATGGTATTGTTCAATTTGATTTTTAGAATTTTTTGTTAGCTACGTCAATTTGTGATTCGCTTGTGCATTCTCTTTGGTAATGATACGTCAATGCTTATTAAATTTTATATTGATCAGATTGGATTAGTTGTAATTTTTTCTATAATTAATCATATGATCTGTTTGTGAAAGCTTATATTGATCTGTTTGTAATTTTTTCTATATTGACATGTTTGTAATTTTTTCTATAATTAATTTTATATTGATCTGTTTGTGATTTTCTAATTTTTTTTCTATAGTTAGTGGATTTTGTTCATATTGGGTATTATTATGTATGCACATAAAATTATCCAATTATTGGATTAGATTATTTAAAGGGTTATCATTTTGTTGGAATATAAAATTTTAAGCTCGTGTGTGTGTGTGTATATATATATATATTGGTTTGTTGATGAAAATAAGAAGAAATCAATTTCTTAAAACAAAGGGATTTTGCCTTTAAGAGGTTGTAAAATGTGAAAAAAATTGATCTAAGAATATCTAATTAGAGACAAAAAGGAAAATATATATTTATATATGGTATGGTTTTGAATATACTTGAGCATTTTAGCTAAGTTGAATTAAAAAAAAAAAAAAAATAGGCACATTAGAAGGAGAAATTACAAACCAGGCCTCTAGAATGAGTTAGCATGAGGAAAGCATGATATAATTGAACAGTTTAGAAATGATTGTAGAATGTGAAAAAAAATGATCTAAGAATACCTAATTAGAAAGGAAAATCCTGCACAGATTCCACAGACCTAGTAGACCAGGTGGTATCCAGAGTTTCTCAACCATAAATCAGGGACTCAAAGCACTTGTTTCCTATATGTGTGTGTTTGCGCCCACATATTCAATATAACTGCAACCTGCTCATTTGATGGACATGTGAATACAGATCTTGTGTATGTATTTATGTGTGATTTCAACGTGGTCCTTACCTTGATAGAATGCCTTTCTTCAAGAAGTCTTATGATGCCCATTTCTGCTTCTTGAGCAGCAGCTTTCTAAAGCTTTACAACTCTTTCAAACTTTCTCAAGCTTTACAACTTTCTCAAGCTTCTTGAGTAGTAATTTTTTCTATAATTAATTTTATGTGAATGTGGAAATTCTATTCAACAAGCTTGTTACAACTTACAAGTATTTGATACTAGACAGTCTAGACCTGTTGTCTCAGTCCAAGTCTTTTTATTTCCCTTGAACAGGGAAAATAAAATTCAGAATCTTCAACTTTTAATTGTTTAAATTATGTAAAACAAATTTTGAATCTAGAAATTCTATTCAACAAGTGTGTTACAACTTATAAGAACTTGATACTAGACAGTCTAGACCTATTGCCTCAGTCCAAGTCTTTTCATTTCCCTTGAACCAAACAAAAGAAAATCTAAGATTCTATTTATTTTTTCCTTCCTCTTCTTGGCAACCAATAGCATAAATGAAAATCAATTAGCCTTAAAATTGTAATACTTCATTCTTTGTATATTAGTAAGATGCAATCATCAGAGAAACAACAAGACATATTAAGAGGGATTGAGTTTTTTGTTTTTTCTCATTTTGATTGCTTGCTCCTTCTTAGATTTGTTGTTGCTAACTTTCTCAGCTCAATTGTTTGCTCTTTTCAAAATGATTCAATTCCTCATTGTTAATATAAAGAATTATTTGTTTTGACTTTAATTATTTTATACATTTTGTGTGGCTTCTAAGAAAATAGTAAGAAATCATTCATTAAATAATGGAGAACTTATAGGACTTTGAGTTATTAAAGTAATAGCATGAGTTATTGAAGTAATATATATTATTTTTGTTGTTATTAATTATAGTATTGTTATTAAATCTGTTAAATGGATATGAATGTTGAGAATGTGGAACAATGTGGTGATTATCTCACAATTGAAGAAGAAGGGGTGACTGAATTTACGAAAGATGGAAAATTGTTATGGGATAACTCACTTACTGAAAAATTCTGTAATATTATGGAGGAACAAGTTAGGGTTGGCAATCGTACTGACACCACATTTAATCTAAATGGTTGGACTACTATGGTAAAAGAAATGAAGGTTCAAACAGAGAGAAAATTTAACAAAACCCAACTTCGGAATAAGTTTAACCACTTGAGGAAAATTTATGTCGAGTTTAATAAATTGTTATCGGAGACTGGCGTGGGATATAACCATGAGACGGGCATGGTTGTAGTTGAGGAAGAAAGATGGGGCAGGTTGAGCAAGGTTAGTAATTTAATTATTAGTCTTAAATGAATAATAAAATGTCGTATATTCTTTGTTATGAGGTTAATATTGTAACAAAATTTATAGGTTATTACGGGTACAAATAAGTTTCGCAGACATGGATATAATCATGTTGATAAGATGTCGACTATATTTGGGGACACATATGCAACAGGAATGCATGCCCACCCCTCCACTACAGCACCCCCCGCAATCATTTTGCCTACTCCCAATGATGACGATGATGAGGAAGAGGGTTGTCACATCAGTCCCCCACCTTTACGTAAAGGTGCGAAAGCCAAAAGAGATAGTTTATCTCTCAGTATGGATGCACTCTTGTCAAACATGGATGAGAATTCTGCGAGGAGAACTGAGAGAATGGAAGCTGCAATAAAGAAATCAATTAAAGCATCTTCTACTTTTACTCGTGTATCTTCATGTGAGAAAGGAGATGATGAAGTTCTCTATCCCTCTAACAAAGAATAGAGATTATGAAATGTTTGATGCTTGCATGCTTCTTTTACAAAAAATACCTGGAATTGAGATGGCCCAATTCGCTAAGGTATCGAAGTTGTTATATGATTTTGAAAAGTGGCAGAAATTTTTTCTTTTGGCACCTGAGGAGATGAGAATTGGTTGGGCATTGAATGTTTGAGTCTTTCTTTATGGATGATTGTGTTTTGTTGTTTGTTTAACTTATTACTATTTCACATTTGGATGACTGTAATAACTAAATACTTTTATTTCTCGGGTGACTGTACTGTTATTATTTAAATGTTTTTCTTATTAAGTTAAATGTTTTGTTTATTAACTTAAATAATTTGTTTATTACTTAAATGTTTTGTTTATTATTTAATTGTTTTGCTTATTAACTTAAATGTTTTATTTATTATTTAATTGTTTTGCTTATTAACTTAAATGTTTTGTTTCTATTAAATCTTTAAATAGGGCAATAGATATGTGGAACCATATAAGAAGAATAATTCAATTTTATGATGATGAGAAGGACAATGAGAGTGTTTTAATATTTGCTACTCTTTTAGAAGAGCAGAATTTCTATCAAAAGAGGCATTGTAGGGATTCCATTTTACAAGGGGAAACGTATGTTATGGAGATTTTAAACGGCCACAGAGAAAGATGTTATGAAAATTTTAGGATGTACCCTGAAGTTTTCAGAACATTGCGTAGTACCCTGAAAGGTATAGGGTTGAAGGATTCTAAATTTTTAACTACTCATGAACAAGTGGTAATCTTTTTGCTCACTTTATCTCATAATCAAAGGAATTGTGTTGTAGCAGAGAGATTTCAACACTCCATTGAAACCATTTCTAGACACTTCCATGTTGTGTTGCATGCAGTATATCAGTTGGGCACCCATATCATTGCCCCTCCTGATTTTTCTGTGATTCCGAATAAGATTAGAGAGTTTTCTAGGTTTTACCCTTACTTCAAGAATTACGTGGGAGCTATAGATGGAACCCACATTCCTGCAACTCTGCCAGCAAGTACATAACTTCCATTTCGTGGTAGAAAGGGTTATACCACACAAAATGTAATGGATGTATGTAACTTTGACATGAGGTTTACATATGTGCTAGCTGGGTGGGAAGGCTCCGCTAATGATTCGAGAATCCTAAAAGAGTGTATTGAGAATGAGGTAATGAACTTTCCAGCTCCACTAACAGGTAATATTATCTTACAAATTCACTTAATATATGGTTAGTTTATCATACTGTATATATCTTTATGTATTCTAAACATGACAAGTAAGTATTCTTTGGTGGACTCAGGATATGCCAATAAGCCTGGTTATTTGGCCCTATTTCGAGGTCATACTTACCACTTTCAGGAATACCGTAAGACTAGACAACCTCGTGGTCGAGAGGAAGTGTTCAATCATAGGCATTCATCTTTGAGAAATATAATTGAGCGATGCTTTGGGTTGTTGAAGATGAGATTCGCTATTTTGAGGGTAATACCTCCTTATAAGTTTTCAACACAAGTATTGATTGTAATGGCTTGTTGCACATTACATAATTTCATCAGAAATCAGCATCAGCCTGATGATTTATTTGATGGTAACGATCCTCCTCATAGTGATGGTGAAGATGATGAGATTGTTGAGCATGTGCCTTCGGCTCAGCTTCGAGAAATGGATCAGTTGTGTAATACTATTGCTGATCGAATTTGGAATTCTCTTCAACACTCTTAATCCTTCTGAAAGTGATGATATATTTTTTCTTTTATATGTAATATATTTGTTGCTATTGTGAGCTTGTAATATATATATGTACTATAAATCATTTTTGCAGATATATAATTCAACTTAAATGTTATTATTGAAGATATGAAGTGTGTTGATGCTCTCTTGAAGGCCACATGTGCTGTTATGAAGATGATGTGTCGTTGCCATTGTCATCCACTTTATGAACTTCTTATCAATTTTTAGAGACAATTATGTATTGTTAATACTTTGTTTCAAACATTGTATGTGCAACTTAAACTTATTTAATTTGTTGGTTGAATATTTAAGGACTTGTAAATGGTATACACTCTATTTCAATTATGTTTTCAGTTGGGTTTATTTTTATTTTAATGTTGTGTTGGACTATACAGGTAACAGAATAATAAAATTGAAGCAGGTTATTGCAAAGAACTTGTAAATAGGTTATTGCAAATTTTTTTTTTACAAATATTGACTCTCATGTAGTATAGTAAAATGTGACTAGAGATGTTTTTATTTTTAATGTTATGTTGAACTATATAGGTATAATGATAATAAAATTGAAGTAAGTTATTGCAAACAACTTATAAATAGGTTATTGCAAAAATTAATATATATATATATATGTGTGTGTGTGTGTGTGTATTACAAATATATATGTTTGTGGGTTCAAATTTCTCCATATGTATTAAAAATATGTAACTATTTATAAATATAATTAAAATTTATAAAAACAAATTAAAAATAATGATAACCAAATATGTTTTTTTGTTTCTGTTTTATTTTTTTTTTGGCAACAATTGGACTGACCAAATATGTTTTGTTTTCAAAAGTTTTGAAACGCATGACTTATCAAACATGTGTTTGCATGTTTTTGTTTCCGACATTTCCACAGCAAAACATCGTTCCCAAACGAGTTTTCAAATTTTTTCCAAAACACTTCTATAACAAAAACAGTGTTTCTGTTTTAGCCAAAAATAAAATGCCAAAAACAAAGCGCATGTCAAACGGGCCTTTAATGAAGCAAAAAGCGTTGAATTCAATGACTCAAAAGAGATAAAAATACCTCTTTTCCCATAAATCCATGTGGAGAAGAACATGAATAAAATACCTCTTTCAGATTTTAAATTTTATTTGTGATATGCTAAAACTAAGCTTACACACCTCTTCTTTGCTTACAATGTTTTATTTTTTTTGCCATGGGGATGTGAATTTAGGCTCCGTTTATTTTGATGTAATCTTTTTTATTTTTTTGGTATTTGGTTGTCGTAAAATATTTATATATAAAAAAAATTATCCATTAATTTTCGACAAGTTATTTTACACGCCCCACCAGATAGATTTGATCCCAATCTTAGTCTAGATGTAACGACCAACCCACTACAATGTATGATATTATTCGCTTTTAGCTTGAGCTCCCACTGCCCGCCCACAGGGTCATCACAATTCACCCCCCTTGGAGGTCCGATGTTCCCGTCGACACACTTCCAGCTGGGTCAGGCTCTGATATCATTTGTAACGATCCACTCCACCACATGATATGATATTGTCCGCTTTGGATTTGAGCCCGCATGGTTTTGCTCTTGGACTTTATTTCAAAAAAACCTCATACCAATTGGAGTGACACACCTACATATAAGTACTTCACCTTTCCCTTATCTAGACAATGTTGAATTGTGCACCCGTAACTCGTTAGTGTCGTAGTCTGCTAATGTCTTGCACCCGTCCATGGCACACCCGCCTACAAGGTCATCACACTAGAACTTTGCCAAATACCAAAAAATTAAATTAAATATGTATTTTATTTGAAAAAGAAAAATCTTAATCTGCTTGGAAATTGTTTAATCCTCCCATTATGATTTAAAGTTAGTTCGTCTAATCTTGTATGGTTCTCCAACCACGTTCCCAAATTTAGTTTCATCGTATGTCTAGTTTTTCACTCAAAACTCAGTACTTAAGATAAGTTGATTCATCTTGGTAATGTTTTATCATGTGAGTGTTTTTTGCACATCATAATCATATTGAATTTGATCATTTTTTCTATTCAGATTTAATAGTGCAATCTTGGAAATAGTAGTATTATCAATTGAGTTTTTAATTATGAAATATCTTCGACTTCTTTTATCATTTATTTGTGTATCATATTTGGATTGAAATAAATAATACACTTTTTATGCCATCATTTCCAACATTTTCATCAAATTTTATTTATTTATTTATTTTTATTTTTATTATAATAATAAAAAAACTAACCTCGGTATAATTTTATTCTTAAATGTGAAAGCACTGATTCTAAACGGGATGCCCATTTTTATTTTTTGCTGTTCTCTTCCGTCCGAACTCAGAATCAAGTGATTCTTGAGTCTATTTTCGTTAATTTTTCGTTGTCTATCCAATGGTGTGCTCGGTAGCACCCATAATTTTTCTAAAAATTACCGTTTTGCCCCTAGGGCTAAAATTGTCCGTTTTTAAAATATCGCTTCCGTATTTTGTTTTCTTTTAAACTCCGTGACTTCATGGAAAGTCACTCTAGTTTTCTTGGATGCCGTTTATCCCTAGGAACCTTATTTTCATTCCGAATCCATTATCGGGTCAACTTTCAAGTCACATTGACATGTCTTTGTAAAAATTTAGAACCTCAAAGGTGGTACAATTTTATCCTTAAATGTGAAGGACTAGTTCTTTGTTCCTTTAAAATGCATTATGTTTGCATTATTAGATATTATTTATCAAAAACACGTACATATCGCTTCATTGTGAGGCAACATCTACCCGTGTTGCAGTTTCTACAGCTTAATGGTTACATAGATATCCTATGTATTCCTGAGAATTTTCTTCCATAAATATCTATAATTCTTAAAAACATATTTATAATCTTTTAAAATATTATCCACGCATTACAAATACTCTTTAATATTCTAAAATTTTACAACTCTCTCTAGCACTCCACAATCTCCACACAATCGTGGAAGATTTTAGAAATCATCTACCCGACAAGTAAACCCCATGCAGAGCAAACTTCCCTAAAATTTGACCGGTCATCTTCAGGCCCGGCCCTTGCCCAGGGGGACCAAGACGGTCGCCTTGGGCCTCAAATTTTAGAGGGCCTCTGAGGACCATAGAGGATGGAAAAAATTGGTAGCCTTGGGCCTCAAATTTTGAGGCCCAAAATTTGAGGCCTATAGGGGATGTAAAAAAAAAAAAAAAGTTAGGGCAAGTTTCAGACAACACAATCTGCTTCGACACTCCGCAGGGCGCAGCCTCCGCTATCGCCTCAGGTGACAAGGTATGTTCATCCTCTTTCTTTCTTCTCTCTCCTTTTGCATGAATCGATCTTTTATATATGTTTCTTTCTTTCTTTCTTTCATCTCATCATTTGATTTGTTCTAACTTTGGTTCGTTTGATTCGGGCCTTTACCTTTGTTCCAATAGTGAAAAGTAGCTTCCAAACTAGGTTTTTTTTTTGTGTGTGTGTGTGTGTGTGTGTGTGTGTACTGTGTGTGATGGCTATCAAAAGCTGAATGAATATATTATGGTTCTCTTAGTATTTTAATAAATGTGGTGCCTTTCTAGTTTCTACATGTGTCTTTCATGGCGATCGAGTCCATAATATATGGCAGGCACTTTTTTTTTCCCTCTCCCTAATTTCACTCAAATCTCACAACAGCAGCAACCATACCCCTTTTCCTCATAAGTTTTTGCATTTTCACATTCAATCCTACGAAAATTAAGGATCCCTTCTAGTGGGTTGAACCGTTTTTCGATATCTAAATTATGCTCATACTTAAAAGTGCCAAATTAAGGGGTTTTTTATATTTTATTTTTATATGGAGATACATACCACCATTATTGATGTTATTTGAAGTTGGCTCAGCTAGAATTTCAGTTAATAATACTTTCAAAGCACTTGCCATCAGAATGTACAAACACATGGAAATCAAGAGCAGGCTTTAACAAAACAAAAGTTAATGGTTTTTTCTATTAGTTTGCACAGGTTTTCTGTAGCAATGATCAATCAATCACTGCTACTACAGTGGATTCCTCATCCTGAAATCAAGAAAGGGGTAATTGGCTCCCAGAAAAAACACACACAAATTGTAGTTAATATAAAGAGTGAAAGACAAAACTATATATGATAGTGGATGCCACATATAACCTAAAAGTCCCACTACTTCTTCAGCACTTCAAGTTCAGCCTCCTCTATATATATAGTGACTATAGTCACCTCATCTCCACATATTTTTATCATCTGTAATCATCAAATTTTAGCAGCTATATAAACAATGAATATAAAAAAGAAGCTGCAGTTTTCTGTTCCTCATTTCCACTTTTGGACTGTATTTTGGATACTCTGTTTTGTCTTCTCTCCTCTCCTCTCCTCTCCTCTCCTCCAGATTCCAGTGAAAACTCCAGCCAGGAGATCATTCGACCAAACTGCTTGATTTTAGATTTTTTTTTTTTTAATTATATTTATTGTATGATCGGCAATGCTTAGTTATTATTGTTTCTGTTTGATTCTCCATCCGTTTTATGTTAATTGTGATCTTCTTTCACATGCTAGCAGGACACTCTTCTTAGGATATCGTGAGGTTATTTGCCTTAAACTTGAATCAAATCATTGCATATTGAGGTAATATATATTTTCTTTAAACAAAGCAAATTTTTATTATTAATTTTTTGAAGTCTAGTTTTATGTTGATTATGGTTCCTGTTATTTAGATTTCAAAAGATATCATTATGTATACAAGAAAATTTGAATCTGGGCATGAAAAAAGGGAAAAAAAAAAAAAATAATAAGAGAGAAGAAGAATTGATTCAATCTCAAAAGGGAGATATTCTTAGGTTTTTTAGGAGCAATACACAAATAGAGAGTTTAGTTGAAGATTTGGTGAATGAAGAACATATGAATGCGAAAGCAAATGAAGAAAATCTCAATAAACATGAAGATTTAATGAATGAAGATCATAGGAAGCTAGTCAATGAACATGAAGATTTAATAAATGAAGATTATAGTTATTAGTTTGTTGTTTTATGCACAATGCACATGCGTACAATTATATTGGCTATAGAATTTGAAAACATCGTGTTAAAACTCCACACGCCTATAATTTTTTTTTGCGCATGTGAAACTTAAGGGCCTCACATTTGAAAGTTTGCCTAGGGCCTCTCAAAATATTTGGAATCTCAGGGTCGGCCCTGGCGGCTACAAATGCATGTTTACATTAAAATTGTCTTTCGATGATTTTCTTCTTTTTTAAAATAGGTTGATAATATATTTTTTTTGTTCTTTTTAAAATAGGTAGATAATTAAAATTTTTAAACATTTAGCTTCACATTGAATTTATGAATCAGTTTTAGATGAGAATTTTTTAATACAGCAATGATATTATTAACTAATTATTTTTGCGTGATTTTATTGATAGTCTTACGTTCTTATGTCAGTCTCATACTATGAAATATGGTTACAGATATGAATAAGGAATATGTATATAATACGATACAGGTATGATGTACGATAATACAACAAATCTTAAAAAAAAAATACGGGTACGATGTACGATAATACAACAAATCAAAAAAAAAATTACGGGTATGATCGATAAGATATGACAATATAAAAATAATAAATTATATTTTTATATATACAAAAAAAATTTACATTTTACCTTAATTTTATCTCAATTCTTCTTTTGAAAATAAAATTTAAATTATTCTTAGAAATTTTACTTATGCTATTATTATTAGAAAAATTACATTTTAATATTCAAAACATTTTAAAATGTGTTCTAAAATTTTCAAAAAATATTGATCAAAATGAAAATTATATTTTAAAATTATGAATACTTATTTGAAAAGTATCAATATCACGAGTATGTCGTGCTTTGTAAGTCTCATCATTATACTAACAGCAGAACTCTTGTATATATGGATAGATTTAATTAATCAATGACACTATATTATTATTAATTGCAAGACATATTGGATTACTCTGGAACTCTTTTTTTTTTTTTTTTTCCCGTTTTTTTTGTGCCTGACAGAATAACTATTTTGGATACTTGACCTTATTTGATTGAGAAAGTCTACAATACCACGTGTCTCTTAGCCATTACATTATTTATCAGATGGGTCCTATAACCACATTTAATGATTAGAGAAAAATTGGGTCCTATAACCACATTTAATGATTAGAGAAAAACTTCTTTGTGCCCATTGCACCGTGCAACGAGCACATCCAACTGTTCATTATCGTGAATGTAATACAAGTGTGAACGTGCAGTAGCCAGAAATTTCTTCAAGAATAAGATATGAAAAAGAAAATAATACAGTTACCTAATTGTTCTAATTTATCACATATGTGAAAAAAAATAAAAACACAAACTAAAATTTAAAAGAACAATAAGCCCTAAAATAATTTCGATAGTAATAACTAATAATTTTTCTAATTAAAATTATAATAGTATCAAATTATAATAAATTTAGATGATAAAAAAAAAAATCAGATTACCTTCCTGCCGCACTGCAGTACGACTGACTGAGTCTCTGTTTACCGATAAATGGTTGCTCAGCTTGCTTTGTTTGGATTGTGGAAAATGTTGAAGATGAAGATGAAGATGTGATGGAAATAATCCATTTGTTTGTGGTAAAGTCAAAAAGTGTGTTTGAATATCTTGATGAAATTTTTTATTTTTTTTGGAAAGTGGTAAAGAGTATAATATTTTGGGAAAGTGGAAAAAAATATCATATTTTATGGGAAAGTATAAATTGATAGATATATTATATATATTTACAATTGTGTCACAATTATATTCCTACCGTGAATGGACTTTTGGTGTTTATATATATATATATATATATATATATATATGTGAGCACTGTCAAATTTTAGAGGGAGCAACAATACAAATATAAAAATCTTTCCTTATAAAATTTTAAAAAATTATTGTTCCTAGCCACTGCGGACGTGTGTATTGCAATTGCACAGTGGTCCAAAACCTTATAGGTTTGGGCTTTTTAACTTATACATTACACACAAGGCCCCAAGGCCAGTTATACAAGGGCTCATATTAGACTATTTATACTGCGCAGTAGACATCAACGCGTTGTTTCTGCTGGGGCTTTCCTGAAGAACGTTAGGGTTTTTTACAAGCTTTCAATAAAGGCACCTTCTCTCTCTCAATCGCTAGCTTTCAAATTCGCTAGCTTTGAATTTGAAGGTATTGAAATCAAATTTCTTGTAATTGTGATCATAATGTCTGTTCTGCATTTTTTCGAATCAAGTTGAAGTAGTGGTGGCTTTATCAATTCTGGTGTGTGGGTAGTTGCAATTTGAAGTTCTCATATTACTCGTTCAGTTTATACATTCAATTTTCCGTTTCAGGTTTTTTTGATTAATTCACTAGCTGATTTGCTAAGAACCTTAGTTTTCTACAGCTAGTATATGAGAGAGGATATGATTTGATGCGGTGCTTGTTATGAATTGTATGGCAGCAATTGGTAATTAATTTGGAATATGGTGTTAGTGGGATTGTTAGTGAAAGTTACTTCACTTAATTTTCTGTCATTCTTTCCAATTTATAGATATCCTATGTATTCTTCAGAATTTTCTTCCATAAATATCTATAATTCTAAAAAAATATTTATAATCTTTTAAAATATTATCCACGCATTACAAATACTCTTTAATATTCTAAAATTTTACAACTCTCTCTAACACTCCATAATCTCCACACAACTGTGGAAGATTTTAGAAATCATCTCCACAACAAGTAAACCCCATGCAGAGCAAACTTCCCTAAAATTTGACCGCGTGACATTAGGGTCATCTTACGCTACAAATGCATGTTTACGTTAAAATTGTCTTACGATAATTTTCTTATTTTTTAAAATAGGTAGATAGTATATTTTTTTTGTTCCTTTTAAAATAGGTAGATAATTAAAAAGTTTTAAACATTCAGCTTCACATTGAATTTATGAATCAGTTTTAGATGAGAATTATTTAATACAGCAGTGATACCATGTCATGTTGCTGACATAGTATTATTAACTAATTATTTTTACGTGACTTTATTGATAGTCTTACGTTCTTGTGTCAGTCTCATTATGTGAAATATGGATACAGATATGAATATGGAATATGTATATAATACGATACAGGTACGATGTACGAATATGGTGTTAGTGGGATTGTTATTGAAATTACTTCACTTAATTTTCTGTCTGAGGAAGACTGATTTGGTTTAATAGCTGGTACTTTTACAAATATGTTAGTGTGTCTGACAACCTTGTTATATAAAAATGATAATGATAAATCTGCTGATTATGTTTTATGTATTCACATGCTTGAATTTCTGTTGTTGTTGTTTTATTTTTTATTTTTTTTGTAGTTGGGATTTCCTATTGAGTTACCATTTCCTCTTGATATCATATTGTTCTTTTTTCTCTACTCTTTGAAAATTAATTTCCTATTTGTTTTTTTTTTAATATATATTTATTTTTTGGGGGAAATTTGTGAACATTTAAAAATCCTCATTTTTTGATTGTGGTGATTTGAGATGAGTTTTAACTGTGACCCCTTAACATATTTATACTGTTTTCTCCTTTTAATTCCATTATTTTAGTGTGGTTTAGATTTTGGCTCTATATGTATTTGAATATTGCGCTGGTAGAACTTATCCAAAAAAATAAATAAATAATATTTGCACTGGTAGCGTGTATGTGTTATTTTAGCAAGTGTTCCTCGTTTCTATCTATTGGTTTGAATCTGTATTTAGTTTCTGGTGATTTTATTGGTAGGGGCTGAGTATAAATTTTAATGTTCATGTTTCCAATCCTAGCTGGTGGGCAAGTTAAAAAAATATTTTTAAGTACAAATTTTTTCTCCCCACCCCCCTCTTCTCTCTCTCTCTCTCTCTCTAATAAATGTATTTGGTTCTTAAATTGGTATCCATGCTATTGTATGTGTTTTCAAATTTCAACTAGAGAACTTGAGTTCCAATTAGTGCTTGCTAACCATTATATTTGAGAAATATTCCTTCCAATAATGTGGTGAATTCATCGTCACCAATTCCATTTAATGTGCATTTAGTCTCCTACCCTTTGTCTTAACACTGTCCCAAGTATGCAAGCTCTTTAGTGAAGATATAATTTATCTTATTAGAGGTTGTACCTCATGTTGTTTGCTGATGATATGGTCTTATTGGACACTTCCAGATAAAACTTAGCAATAAAACTTGAAATGTGGAGAAATGCCTTAGAGTCAATAGGATTAAAAGAGTATATGGAATGTAAATTCAATAAAAATTCGAATTTTGATAATATATTGATCACTAATCACACTTAAGAACTAAAGGATTATTAAAAATAACCATTTCTGATATTTGGGATCGATAACACAAGAAGATGGAGATAGTGGTATGTTTTTTTTTTTGATAAGTAAAATGTATTAGAAAGCGTTCAAAAGGGGAACGCGTCCTGAGATATACACAAAAAGAATCTATGAACTCAAAGAACCCAAAGAGTCCACAATGTCCTCTAAAGAAGAATAATCCCTCCCCCAACCCCAACAAAAAAGGGTACAAATAATATGGAGATAGTGGTATAACTAGTCGAATTGAAGCAGGATGGAATGATGGACAAAATGGAGACAGGCTAGTGACATCTTATGCGAGAAAAGATTACCAAGTAGGTTTTTAAAAAATCTATAGAACATTATTAGACCAACTATTCTATCTGGGCAGAGTGTTGGACTTAAAAAGAAAGAAGAATAATGCATTCACATCGCGGAAATGAGAATGTTACGGTGCATGATCGGAGTAACTAGAATAGATATGATCACTAATTAAAGTGCGAGAGAAAAATTAGGAGTGACACTCATTTTTAAGAAAATGAGAGAGAGTAGACTTAGATGATATGAACACATACACCATGGACATGTAGATGCGCCGATAAGAAGAGGAAGACTGGTCGCCATAGAAGGGAAGAGACACAGAGGACAATCCAAATTATTGTGGGATGAAGCTATTAGAAATGATTTTTAAAAGTTAAATATAATAGGTGAGATGGTGTGCAATAGAAAAGAATGGAAATAGAGAATTCATATGGCTGACTCCGTTCATATGGGATTAAGGCAAGGATGATGATGATTAGAGCTTGTATCTGATGTTAGATTGGGTTATTTATCTTATACCTTAGCAATAATGACAGTTGTATATCTCTCCCATTTCATTTGATATAATTCATTAATTACCTCCATTCTAAGCCTTAAAGAACCTGCAGAATATGTTCTGCACATCGTTATGGTATGGAAGGGTGGGGTGGGTTGCTCCAAGTTCTTAAAATATGCTTGATCCGCATTATTATTATTATTTTTTTGCATGCCTTGATCAATATGACAATTTCTACATGAGGATTTGGGATGGAGTAATGGATTATAAAAGTTATCGATTTCCATGGGTCAACTTGATAATTTGATCATATTTAGACACATAGATTTATGTAAAGCTTGACTTTACTAGTGGCATGGTTCAGATTGTGTGGCATTATTGGTGTTTTTTTGATGGACTTACCTTTCAATTGAGTTTTTAGTGTGTGGAACTTTCTAGCTTGCATTGCTTTTTTATGAATCCCCTTTCTTCCATTTGACTTCAGATTTTGTCTTACTTGATAATAATTTTTTATATGGTTTGGGATTGGCATTGGGAATAATTTGGTTCTTTTCCCCTCTTAGAACTTAGGAGTCAGAATGTCAGGTCTGACTGCATGAGAAAGTTGCCTTCTTATTAATCCCCTTCTTCCATTGAACTTCAGATCTTGCCTTGCTTGATAATCATTATTTATATGATTTGGGGATAATTTGGTTCGTCTCTATTAGAAGTCAGATAGTTGGTCATGAGTCAAAAGAGTTTATCTCAGGCCCAACTCAGTCATTAGTTATGTTAATATGTGCTGATTTTCATTCTGTGTGTTTGATCTGGTGGAGTATCTTTGTTTTATTTCAGGGACAAAACTGATACAAATTAGTGTCTTCCCCTTTGTTGAACATCAAGCAGAAATCATGATGCAGACTGAAAGTGCTCTGTCTGTTGTCGGTCCAAGGCCAATGGAAATATCTACCGTTTCATATGGTGGTCCTCAAGCATCGAATGGAAAGCAACGGACATCGAGTTTGGAGTCACCGATTATGTTACTAACTGGTCATCAAAGCTCCGTATATACAATGAAGTTCAATCCAGCAGGAAACGTCATTGCATCTGGGTCTCATGACAAAGAAATTTTTCTTTGGGACGTGCATGGTGATTGCAAGAACTTTATGGTTTTAAAGGGGCACAAGAATGCAGTTTTGGATCTTCAGTGGACTACTGATGGGTCACAGATAATATCAGCCAGCCCTGACAAGACTCTGAGGGCATGGGATGTTGAAACAGGTAAACAGATAAAAAAGATGGCAGAGCACAACTCTTTTGTTAATTCATGCTGTCCATCCCGGAGGGGACCACCTCTTGTTGTCAGTGGATCTGATGACGGCACTGCCAAACTTTGGGATATGCGGCAAAGGGGAGCCATCCAGACTTTTCCAGACAAATATCAAATCACAGCAGTCAGTTTCTCCGATGCATCAGATAAGATATACACGGGAGGAATAGACAATGAAGTTAAGGTATGGGATCTGCGTAGAAATGAGGTTACAATGACTCTTCAAGGCCATCAAGACATGATAACTGGTATGCAGTTGAGTCCAGATGGCTCGTATCTTCTAACCAATGCCAGGGACAGCAAACTTTGCATATGGGACATGCGCCCATACGCCCCCCAAAATCGTTGTGTGAAGATTTTAGAAGGGCACCAACACAACTTTGAACAGAACTTGTTGAAATGCAACTGGTCACCTGATGGAAGCAAGGTGACGGCTGGTAGTTCAGACAGGATGGTGTATATATGGGATACGACTTCTCGGCGCATTTTGTATAGGCTACCAGGCCACAATGGATCTGTCAATGAATGTGTCTTCCATCCCAGTGAACCCATTATCGGATCATGCAGTAGCGATAAACAGATTTATCTCGGTGAGATCTGAAATACATTGCTGTTTCATTAACCTGGCCCTTGATGGGTGTGCAAGTGACAGTTCTACTTGTTTTTTCCCATGTAAGCTTGACTGGAGTTGTGCCTTTTCTGTTGTGCTAGATGAATTCTGTGACCGACGTATATTTTACTCGAATGTTCTTGCAACATGGGAATATGGTGCTACATTTATCAATATCTAGGACAATTGTAGTATGAACTATGCATATAGGTACGCTCGCTGGTGGTTTCACTTCCATTAGTGTATGAAGTCTTTCTTTAAAAAATCTTCTTGCTGAGCTCATTTGTTTTTGTTGAGAAAGGGGTCATCTGAATTCAAGTTTGATATGTGAATTTAATTGTATCATGTGTATCTGCTATTCATTTATCTCTTTGCTATCCGAACCTTAAGCATTGGCCTCCTGTCTTGGTTCTTTCCCGGCCAGATGATACAAGAAATTGAACCCTAACCCTTGACCCTTCATTGTAGGTTATATGTTTCATCTTTAATCTAATTTGATGCAGGGCCTTTTCTCTGTGGTGTTGGAAATTATGTGTTTGATTGCCTGAATTTTCTGAGGTTTTCTGAGTCGGTTTGAGTTTGTAAGTTTCTAACTGCTTATTTACTTTGTATATGGTGATTCTCTTTGAATATGAGGGGATGCTATATGTCAAAAGAGACTAGTAGTTTAGAATGTTATTCTGTTCTTTGCATCGATTGGGAGGTCTCATTAATCGAACTGAGTCGCTTTAGTGAGCAAGTAAATGCTATTCACATCTCATTCTTTGACAGCTTTTCTCCCGAGAGTTGTGATACCGAGTCCGAGAGTCGGACACATCGGACTAAAATATGATATGTGGGTAGGAGATGATGTCATTCTCACTCACATAAAACAGTGAGATGCATCCGACTTTTGAACTACTTATTATTATTCTTTCATGGTCAAATGTAATTGGGTGCATTGTATTTTTTGTTTGAATTTAGGGAATGTGTAATCAGGGTGTATTATTCATATAAATGAATAATTAATTTATGTGGATATTATTTGTTAGGTGATAGGTACAATTCACTTTCACCGCATGCCATTTCATTCGAATCTTTTAATAATTTAAACGACAAAAGAGAACTTCACTATCATTTCGAAGTTCGACGTCCACTTATTTTCTGTGCTTTTGTGACAAAAACTTCAATGTCAGCCAATAACGTTATTAACTTTAATGCCATAGAAAATCGATAACGTGGTATTGCCCACCTCGTAGTGATAATAAATATAATTGTTCTTTTGTGGGAAAAAAAAACTTTAATGTTAGGAAAACGGATTATATGTGTGAGAAAATAGCATAGTAAATGCTATTCACATCTCATTCTTTGACAGCTTTTCTCCCGAGAGTTGTGATACCGAGTTCAAGAGTCGGACACATCGGACTAAAATATGATATGTGGGTAAGAGATGATGTCATTCTCACTCACATAAAACAGTGAGATGCATCCGACTTTTGAACTACTTATTATTATTCTTTCGTGGTCAAATGTAATTGGGTGTATTGTATTTTTTGTTTGAATTTAGGGAATGTGTAATCAGGGTGTATTATTCATGTAAATGAATAATTAATTTGTGTGGATATTATTTGTTAGGTGATAGGTACAATCCACTTTCACCACACGCCATTTCATTCGAATCTTTTAATAATTTAAACGACAAAAGAGAACTTCACTATCACTTTGAAGTTCGATGTCCACTTATTTTCTGTGCTTTTGTGACGAAAACTTCAATGTCAGCCAATAACATGTTATTAACTTTAATGCCATAGAAAATAGATAACGTGGTATTGCCCACCTCGTAGTGATAATAAATATAATTGTTCTTTTGTGGGAAAAAAAAACTTTAATGTTAGGAAAACGGATTATATGTGTGAGAAAATAGCATAGTAAATGCTATTCACATCTCATTCTTTGACAGCTTTTCTCCCGAGAGTTGTGATACCGAGTTCGAGAGTCGGACATATCGGACTAAACTATGATATGTGGGTAGGAGATGATGTCATTCTCACTCACATAAAACAGTGAGATGCATCCGACTTTTGAACTATTTATTATTATTCTTTCATGGTCAAATGTAATTAGGTGTATTGTATTTTTTGTTTGAATTTAGGGAATGTGTAATCAGGGTGTATTATTCATATAAATGAATAATTAATTTATGTGGATATTATTTGTTAGGTGATAGGTACAATTCACTTTCACCACATGCCATTTCATTCGAATCTTTTAATAATTTAAACGACAAAAGAGAACTTCACTATCACTTCGAAGTTCAACGTCCACTTATTTTCTGTGCTTTTGTGACAAAAACTTCAATGTCAGCCAATAACGTTATTAACTTTAATGCCATAGAAAATTAATAACGTGGTATTGTCCACCTCGTAGTGATAATAAATATAATTGTTCTTTTGTGGGAAAAAAAAACTTTAATGTTAGGAAAACGGATTATATGTGTGAGAAAATATAATTGGTTCGTGACATTATTGGCTGACACATAGTGACGATATTTATGTGACAAAATATATTTAATTCGTGATAATAATGATATGACATGTAGTCTGTCTCGGTAAAAGGCAGATTTTCTTGTGCTGGTCGGCTTTTATTGTGTTGAGCAACAAACCCTTTCCATCTAGTTTCGGCCTTAAAAATGTTTTGGGTTTTACCACACTTCTTTTGCGGGCCATGGACCCTTTTCTTGCACATTTTCACGTACCAATACAATTTTGTTTTTTTTTTCGATAAGCAGAGTGTTCGGTCTTTATCAAACTAATGCACGGGATCATGCAAGATACCTCACAAGAATCGGGTAAAGTTCGGACTATATCTACGGATGTGACTTTAAGGATTGTTTGCACTTGAAAAGAATCGACTATGAGACCTGATATTTTATGAGACAACATGCCATAGTCTAAGTATTTTCACACTAGGTTAGCCCGGAGGGTTTAAAATTTGTTTTTAACTTCTGAAAAAAAATATAAAGCAAAAAAGAAAAAGAAAAAAGAACAGAGATTCAAGGGCAGACTACTCTTTCACACAAAGTTGGTTCAACCACCTAAAAACTCAGCAGCAGAGAGAATCTGCATTCATTTCCGTGATTAGAGAACTCGAGATGTCTGCATCACGTGCTTAATCCGACCTTTTAATTATAGAATATATATATATATATATAAAGGGTCAAAACTCAAAAGCAAGGTGTGTGTGTGTGTGTGTATGTGTAGAGGTCCAAAACCACAAACTTTGCCAGGCTTATTATAATGGATGGATGGGAAACAAAGAACCATAAGAGTGTCAGAAGTGGAGAAGCAAATTTCTACCTCAGCTTTTTAAGCATGGATGAATATATTAAACCACGTACAATATATTATTTTGAATGGCTGCACTATACCACTTGTAGGTGACGGTAGCTAAATTTTTGCTATCCGACCTAAAAGTTTAGGTGATTAATTTAAAAACTCAAGTCCGTCAAGTGGCGTTGCCTACTCGCATTTATAAATCGAAGATTTTTTCTATCTGGATAGAAAAAATCTTCGATTTATAAATGCGAGTAGGCAACGCCACTTGCAGATAGAAAAAATCTTCGATTTATAAATGCGAGTAGGCAACGCCACTTGACGGATTTGAGTTTTTAAATTAATATATATATATCTTGTTTACCTTCCCTGACCTTGCTGTCAAGGGACTTGATTGGGACAGATAGAAAAAATCTTCGATTTATAAATGTGAATAGGCAACGCCACTTGACGGGCTTGAGTTTTTAAATATATATATATATATATCTTGTTTACCTTCCCTGACCTTGCTGTCAAGGGACTTGATTGTGGGTTGTGTCCTAACTTTCATTTCATTGTACACCATGGTCTAAATGATAGAAGCCCTCCAATTAGTGGATAGATTAAACAAAAGATGAACTTTCAAAATTGGAGGTTTGCAGACTGGCCAAACCAAACTTTGTTTAATTTGTGTGTGTGTGTTTTTTTTTTTTTTAAACTCTTTCTGAGTAGGTACATTCAATACTGCATATATATTACTGAACAAACATACTCTGACCCTGATCTTTGTTCCAATTTGGTTGTATAGTGCTAAATGGATGGTATGAGCCGTTTGAGTTCAATTAACTGATTAATTTTGATATAATATATATCTTTCTATTAACAATTTCAAAACAATGACTGATTAAGTTATGGGCGGCCAGTAATTTAGTCTGATTGGTTGGCTGATCGATGTTCTTAATTCCCAGTTGAGCAGCCTGTTTGTGGGTTTCTTTCCAGCTCACCTTCTTCTAGTGGGTGGGAAATTTATATGAACTCATGCATGGACCACCCACTGCATTGAAGCATTGTAGTGGATTCCAAAGGCTCCCATAATATATATATTATAAACCCTAAACTAGTCTCTAGTTCATAATAATCATTGAAAACCTAAACTTATTATTCAATCCAGTATTACTAAGTGCTTGTTTGGATTAGCTTTTCAAACGTTGTATTTGACTTCTTGGACTTGGATCCAGCTTTTCCAAAACCCTATTTTTTAGAAAACATGGAAAGATGTTCGTTAGTTTAATGAAAAAACTTGGGAAATATCAAGCGTGTTCATATTTGAGAGAGAAAAAATGTCAACCACGTCCTAAAAACAAACGGTTGATTAGACGTTCTCAAATATATATATATTTTTTAATATTCGAAAATATAGGTCCCAAACACTAACACATAAGCCAAATGAAAATGATAACTACTTCCGCTTCTCTTTTTTCAAAATCAAAAGTTATATATGCCGAACGATCCCTAACAAAAGTTAAGTCTTAAAATTTTCACACTAGTATGAGCTAGCTGAGAAATTTTACAGTACCTGGTTGGTAGTGATTGGGGTACTTACTCGTGGGGTATTCTAGAATTTCTCAAGCTTGCTCACTGCCTTAAAATGGATCAATCCATTTTAAAATGGCTTGAGCCTTTTCTTTTTTTTGAAGCCATAGTGCAGAAACCCCAGATTTGTTTTGATCATATCTCATTCAGTATAAACCCAAATTAGGTCATTTTTGTGCTCAAATTGAAAGATTTTGAGCTAGCTTTTCAATGGTACAAACCACATCTCCCATTTTTGACATTAATGACCATTTAATCCTTTGCTTTCGCATTTATGATCATTTTGACCTTAGCTTTCACATTTGTTGTCCTGGTTTTCGGGTCGGGTTTGAATCGGTTAAAACACTAGATCATGGGATTTGGAGTGTTACAACACGTACAATTTTTATTATTAAGTCGTGGGATTCTGCAATTTTTAGTTTTTTTTGGTGGCTGCAATATGGATTAATTTTAGTTTTCTACATTATATGTCTATAATTCTAAAACTTGTTTTTTTATCCTTTATGGAAGACACATGGAAGTCTTCATTGTCTTCTCATTTACTACTTTTCGACACTTCATTAGAACTTAAACGGAATGGAGATGGTGAGAGAGAAGGAATCCTGAATTCACAATAAACCAAGGTTTGAAGAAGAAAGTAATGGTACGTTCTATGAAATTGTGTATTCAAGTCCAATTTCTTTCTTTTTTTTTTTTTTTTTTTGGATGGTAAAACAAACACACACACTTTTTTGCCCACGCTCGGACTTGAATCCCTCCCATCTTCTTTGAAGATGATGAGGTTATATCATTAGGCCAAAGGCCCTTTGATCATGTCCAAATTTCTTGGTTACTATATATATAAAGATGTGCATCTTTATATACATACACATATATGTATGTAAGGAGAACTTTTTTGTTCTTTTAAAATATGGACAATGCAATACTCCAGTCAATAGTGATGGAATCAATATTTTTTATTATTAAAAAATAATAATAATAAAAAGTGTTTATCTATGAAGCACGGACATGGATACGAACACGTGACACGGGTACGACACGAATAGGGTGACACGACAAATTTCAAAAAAATAGGACATAAACACGACGGGGATACACCTATAAAATAATTTATATATATATATATATATATATATATATATATATATATATATTATATTATATATTTAAAATCCACAATACCATAAATCTAACTTCCCCAAAAAAATACTACAATAAAAGAAATACTTCAATTAGTTAAGAACAAAGCAAAGTTATCAATAACTTTACAGTTTATATTTTACACACATCCACAAATACACACATCCACAAATATAATTGTTCTGATTTCTCTCTGTTTTTCTTATTACGGCCTAAAAGTTTATTTAATTCTAGCTAGTACTGAGATGAATGAATCAAATAAAAAAATAAATATAAAAGTAGAAGTTTAGAATCTTAGACAAAAGAGTCAAAAGAGTTAAACTTCTAAAATTACATTAGGTACCCCATTTTTCTTAAAAAAAAAATTACAAAATATACCTGCCTTGTCCGGTACGTGTCTCAGCCGTGTCCAATAAAAAATAATTTTTGGACACTTTACAGAAGAATCGTACATGTGTTCGAGTCCCGGACATGCGTATTCCTATCGAACACTTGTTCGACATTGAAACACGGATCCCTAAAAAAAATATCCGTGCTTTATAGGTGTTTATTGATTGAGTACGACGGAGCCGATAAGTATATGATAACGAATATTCTCTTTCCATGACGCGCAGAGAGAGAGAGAGAGTGAGTGATGGCACATGAATTCTAGATGAATATATTTTGATTTCACACATGCAGGGCATTTAGTGATTATATAAGGCACTTAGGCACATGTCTACCTCACAAGTTTAACCTAAACTTTTGATCAGTCACACATATAAGAAAATTTAATAAAAGAATCAAAAGCAAGGGTGTGGTCCCAAACCTAAACTTGGCCAGGCTTCTAAGGAATGGATGGGAACAAAGAACTAAAAAGTGTTCAACAATAAAATAATGTTAGTTTCTTTGCATGTTGGTGTTAATTTAGGTTTAATCAAACACAAATATACACACAACACACACTACACACACATTCATATAAATATTGGTAGCTTTTTAAGCATGCATTACTAAATAACCTGCTGTGGATTCCAAGCATGGAAAGCACAAACAGTGCTACTTATTCTACGTAAAGTCTACTTTGAATTATTTGAATCTTTTATAAAGGAATATTATTTATGCGGGTTCAACTATATATATACAAGTATATTTCCTTTTAAGAATGCCTTTGGGGAAAAGAGAGAACCAAGAAAAAAAAATTAGAAAAAATAAAAATTGTTTTAGGGAAAACAATAAACATGAAATTATTTTAATTTAAGAAATTTATCACTATTTTTTTTAGTGGTTTTGCTTAATTTCATCATATCACATAGACCTTATTGACTGAAAGGAGGTACATCAGGTTCACCAATATGTTTTTATTATGATTTTAAAATATTGAATCACTTAATAGCAGGTGTGTTAAGATTCCGCAAGTCATTGGTATAACCACCAAACAAAAGTAGATGTTAGGTGTGTCAGGACATACCACGTCATTGCATGAACCTCTTATTTCTAGTGCAACCAATATCTTCTCATTTGTTCTTAAATTATTTGGCACGATATCTTGGAAAAATAGAAGGAATGTGTACATTTATGGGGATGCTTAGCTACTCACCGGTGAGTAGAGTTAAGTGTACCCGGTGAGTAGCAAAACATTGTCCGTATTTGAGTCCCCTCCTCGTAGTTTGTCACGCAAAAAAAAAAGAAAGAAAGAAAGAGGAGTGTGTATATCCATCAGATTAATTGGTGAAAAATAAACTACATATTGAAGCTTCTTGCCTCCCTTTGTTTCAACGGTGCAAGTGTGAATAACTAAACGAAGAAAAATTCCTTGGTCAAGAATCAAGCCTCTCCCTTAAAAGTTGAAAGGTTCTTTTTTAAATTAAAATTACCATGCGGTATTGGGGTCTACCATGTTTTCATAAGAAAATTGTCCCACCAATTAAAGGATGGAGACAACCCTCTAATATATATATATATATATAAAGTGACATGGCCTTTTAAGCTCAACGACTTTTACAAGTCAATTCAAGGTCGTGTAAGTCACTTCCATTTTCTTTAAAAAAATATTTATTTAAGACATTTTTAAAATTATGAAACACCATGGATTTAAAAGCTTAAGTTCATGTTGAAGAAACATCTTCATATAGAAATAATGAAATTAAAGGTTTAATGGGAGGTTGAGGATCGGTTTGGATACATGGCAGTAATAAAATCAAGGGTTTTTTTTCTAGCTCATCCAAAACAAATTTGAATTATAAGCATCCCTATACAATATGCATTAGTAATTTTTTCAGAATCCAACAAATTTGCTACCATATATTTGTTTTACAATTTTTCCAGAAACCAACTTCATATCTTTCCATTTAATAATATTTTCAGATTCTTCTTTATAAAATTAAATATTATAACGTTTTTATGCATAGATTAAGTATTTAGTGTATATACATATATGTGTGTGTGATTTTTTTTTTTTTAGTTAATAGGTAAGCTTGTGTATATAATGAAGAGAATGTACAAGATGCCCCAATGAGATAGGGACAACAAAATATGGAACAAAACGAGGAAAGAAAAGTACCCACCAAAGTCCTCACAAAGGACATTGGACACATGTTCTAGTAAAAGCAATATAAAAAGCGAAAGCAACATCCAAACCAGAAGAAATGAACAAAACACAGACAGACAGACTATAATAATGATCTATCTTCTTTCACACGTGGTACTGAGAAGAGTGAATTGCATTCAATATTGTTCTAAATCAAGTGATATCTTCATTTCAATCTTAAATCTGTTTTTATATATTACACTTGTTAAACTGAACATTTGTCAATGTAACAAATTTCTTTATTACAAGTCTCAGTGTAGTAATTATAGGAGGGTCCATTTGACTTGGGAAATTTAGTACAATACTCGTATTATCAAACCTTAATATATATATATATCTCGTCGGTTGTTAGGAGAAGTACCATATATACGTTTAACTTTGAACAGTTAATCTTAGTCAAAAGGTAGAAAAGGGTATCGTACTCGTGACTAATTGAGGTCATAGACATGTGCAAGATGGTGTAAATATATAAATTACAGTATAATCAACTGGCCGGGATGATCAATATATAAATTAGGAAAAATGAGGCTGTGATGCACATGTAAGTATATTAATTCCCAATGTGAGCTATATATATAGGATGGGGATGTGTTTTTTAAAAACAGTTGGACCCCAACATGCCAGGCGGAGTCTCTCTTACATTTCAACTTATCTTCTTTTCTCATTTGATGTCCCAAAAAGTCCACACCATAGCTTTTTTATTTAATGTGACCACCACACTTGCCTCTTGTTTGTCTCTCTCTATATGTATTGCTCTTGCTACTCCTTTCCTTTCCATTGCTACATTGCATCATTTCCTTGCAATGGAACCAAACCCCTCCTTTTCTTCCCCTTCCTTCTCCACCACCAGGTAACCCCTCCCCTCGATCTCCTCTCTCCCTATGTGCGCGCGTGTGTGTGTGTGATGTAAATTTGAATATGTGTGTGTTTATTATGGTTTTTCATAGAATTTGCAGATGGTGGTCCAAGGACACAGTGGCCATAGTCACTGGTGCAAACAAGGGTATAGGGTTCGCGCTCGTTAAACGGCTAGCAGGATTGGGACTGACTGTGATCTTAACAGCTAGAGATAGTGCCAGGGGACTCAAGGCAGTTGAATCACTCAAAAATCTAGGGCTTCATGTGCATTTCTTTTGCCTTGATGTTTCGGACCCTACTTCCATCAAAATCTTTGTTTCATGGTTCAAAGAGACATTCAAAGCATTGGATATCCTTGTAAGTTCTTCATCCCAATGATGCTCACAATGTTGGTGATAATGCAATGCATGTATCCTCCAATAAAAACTAACAAGCTTAAAATAATTTGCATTTTCTTCTTTCTTTTTTTTTTTTTTTTTTGATTATCATAAATATATATAGCATTAGCTAGTCGGTAATAAATATATTAACACTAGAGACTAATGTGTATTTAGATTATTTCGCACACATTAGAGACAAAGTAGTTTGCATTTCTTTTTTGTTCTTTTTCTTATTATCATAAATATGTATAGTACTATTAGCTGTTTGATAATTTAATTATGTTAATTTTAGAGACTGATGTGAATTTATAAGTCTATTGCTCACGTATGCAGCTGGAAAAAGCTGTATCTAGCTAGCCACCTGACTTGTAATTGTACCATTAATGCTATAGAAATTAGTATAAAATAAGATAATGCCAAAGGAGCATAAAAATATATATTCTTATTATTCTCTGGAATCATATTATTTACAAAAATTAATTATTCCTATTATATCACTTTTGTACTATATATGTAGAGATTATTGTTTCATATATCATTGCATATTGATTTACTAACATGATAGAATATTCAAGTAATGAAAATATTGTTTGATTGTTGTGAGAGATAGAGAGAGTCTATACATAATTTGGTGTTATGTTGAGAACTAAATAATTAAATTGTCAATGATAATAATTTTGTGTGTGTGTTGTGAGAGAGAGAGAGAGCTTACATAATTAATTACTAAATTGAGAATAAAATCTCAAAATATCGCATATACTTCAAATTTTGAAAGGAATCTAGCCCAATTTGGAAACTAATTACAGTTTCATAAAATATTGAACAAGATATTAATATATACTTTTCTATAACATAATTTTATTAGAAACCAAAGAAACTGTAGAATTTGACTTAATTATTAATTATTATAATTTCTCATCCATCTATTAATTATTATAATTTCAACTTAAATTATATTCCCCTTAACCAAACCCCCACACCAAAACAAAAAACAAAAAACAAAAATAAAAATAAAAAAGCCTAAAATAATATCCCAATTATTGTAACGAACTTGTGGAATTCTTCACTGGATGTTCATTGTCCAAGAAACAATTTAAAACATATACCCTTGACAATGATAATCTAGGTTAAGAACCAAATATTATAGTGAACAACTTTGCACAAGTTTTCATGTTTCTTTCGTCTTTTTCGCTTGGGTTAATTGTGAGTGATTTTGGTGAGCTTTCTGGTGTCACTTGGCCTGTTTGAGGCTGAATCATTTCGTTTTTTAGTTAAGCGCTTGTTTGGTTAAATTCTTTAATATATTTTTTTTACAAGGTAAGAAAGATTAAAAGTTATATTAGTAAAAATTTATCAGAGGCACTAAACCACTGGACTAGTGTATAAGAAAATAAAAAATTGTGAATTTTCAAAAAAAAAAAAAAAATTTTTTTTTTTTTTGAAAGGTAAAGTTTAATAAATGGTCAATGATTATAATTTTGTGTGTGTCTGTGAGAGAGAGCGCTTACATAATTTAACTAGTACTAAATTGAGAACCAGATCTCAAAATATCACATATATTCCAAATTTTGAAAGGAATCTTGCTCAATTTGGAAACTAATTGGTAATAATAAATGACAACAGTTTCATAAAATATAAGAACATAGTCTTAATGCTGATTGTAATGGACTCATTAAATATTCAACACGATATTAATTATATAATTAGGAAACCATTATGGTAATATACACCTTTGGATAACATAATTTTATTAGAAACCATTAGTTAGTATAATTTGATTTAATTATTAATTATTACAATTTTGTATCTATCTATTAGTTATTATAATTTCAACTTAAAAACCTTAACCATACCCCCCACACCAAAATAAAAATAAATAATCATGGTTTCTTAAGAAGGACTTTCAAGTGCATGTGATTACTTTTTAAGGACATTTCAGTCCATTTATAGTCTAACTAACATTTCGCCCCCAGTCTTGATTTGTTAAACAAATTTAGGTTGCTTTTGGAAGCATGCTTTTGTTCATATTCAAACAAATATAGTCTTATATATAAATTAATATAGATATAATTCTTAAAACAATAATGATCACAAGCATTTGCCAACATTAATTTTATAATATTTAATAATCAATTATGGTTCTTATTCAAACATCTCATAATTCATTTTCTGAAATTTTCATTGTGTATGTGTGAGAGAGAGTCCAATTCAATTTGAAGTCATGTCGTTCAAGTAATTTCCCCTTCAGGATCACTTTTTGTCAATTTGAACATGGAAGTCAAAGGAAACCAATTCAAAAAAGCTACTTTCATCAAAATTATATATATAATTATATATGTATATATATTTAAAAATATATGTGAGCGTACATATACCTTTTTTAACAAAACGTTGTCAAAAGTCCCCCAGGTGGAAACATTAAAAAAAATTGTAGCTCACACCTCATCATATATCCTCATTTTCAATTGATGTTGTAGTAAGGCTATACTCTTAATTAATTCATTCAATTATATATATATATATATATATTTTACAATGACAATTATACAATTTTCAGGTGAATAATGCTGCAATATCATTCAATGATATCCATGAAAACTCAGTTGAACATGCTGAGACAGTGATGAAGACCAATTTCTATGGTCCAAAATTGCTCACTGAGGAACTCTTGCCTATGTTTAGGTGTTCAGCTTCTATAGGCAGGATACTTAACATTAGCTCAAGGCTTGGCTCCTTAAATGTAAGTGATTGTCAATATGTTCAAAGGCATTATTTCTTTACTTCGTGTGTGTATATATATATATATATATATATATATATTTATATTTATATTTATATTTATATTCAACCCATAGAAACATGATTAATATCGTAAATGAAACAAGTTATTCATGAATATATCCGGCCACCCTAAGAAATTGTTAATGAGCGCTCGTGAGCTTAAGAAACTTCCATGGTACTTTTGGGGAGACTCAAAACACTTTTTACAGTATTTCACTTTGAAAAGAGAGGAGATGCCACTATGCCACAGGTTTTCGCGGTCGAAACTGATTTGATTGGATTTATTAAAGATTATTTTCTAATTAACTCATTTCTCATATGCAGAAGCTCAGAAGTCCTAACATGAAAGAGATGCTTCTAAATGAAGAAAACCTATCTGAAGAGCTAATTGAGGGCATGACCAGTTTATTTCTTGAAAATGTGAAGAGTGGGACATGGAGGAGCCAAGGGTGGCCGGAAGTATGGACAGACTACGCCACGTCGAAGCTTGCACTGAACGCGTACTCGAAGCTCTTGGCAAGGCGCTACGAGGGGTGTGGTTTGAGTGTTAACTGCTTTTGTCCAGGATTCACTCAGACTTCCATGACCGGTGGCAAGGGTACTCACACTGCGGATGCCGCGGCCGAGATTGGGGCTTGGCTGGTTTTGCTTCCACCTCAGGAACTACCAACTGGAAAATTCTATGTAGGAAATAAACCTAGCATATATTCTAAGTTATAGGGTAATTATAATCTAATTAAGCTTGATCATGAAGTGGTTATACTTATATATATATATATATATATATTCTAGCTAGTTCTTTTTGTATTCCTTTTAGAGTAGTTACTTAACAATATGTTTACCCATCTATTTATAAAAAGAGTAGCCGCCATCATCAAGCATCTCTCTTTGTGCGTGACTGTGTGAAATATATATGCTATAAAAGAAGGTGAGGGACTTGTATGTGCAGAATATTGTCTTATATATGAAGCAGATGACATAGATTTTACCATACTACTAGTTGGAGAGTAAACACATGCATTGTTAAAGACCCTTTTCATCTTTCCAAAAAAAAAAAGAGTAAAAATGAGTGCATGTGTGAGTTTTTTTGCCAATTAAAAAAAGAAAACGTATGTTTTTTTTTTTTTTCAAAAATTCCAATATCTAGGATTCAATAGTGTTAGGCCTCGTGAAATGGAATAATAATGTTATACAACCACGTGAAAGCCATTCTTCTGAATGAACATATTATGAAATTGTGAAAATTATTATATGATTTCAGTTAATCATAATTGTAATACGTGAAATAAAATAAAATAATTTTTTTTTAATAAAACTATACATTTATTTTAATAGTAAGTTGGGCCTGGTAAGCTTTTGGTTTGGTGGACCTTGCTTAGGTTCTCTTGTTTCACTCTTTTGGGCTTCTGGCTGTTTTACTTGTAGGCCCATGGGGATGCCCCATGCTCTTTGTATAGTTCTCTTGCTTGCTTTTAAATTTTTATTTACGGGGGAAAAAAAATTACAAATTAACTAGATGGGATTGTATATATAACCCAAAAAGAATAGGTAAATGGGTGAATTTGTCTCAATATATCTGGATATTAACATACGTCCTAATTAATTCCATGGAAAAAAATATCCAATATTTCCTTGGTCAACCTCTCAAGTTTGTGGTCTATCTCTAAAAACAAATAAAAATAATTGAAAAAATAAAAAGTAGTGGAAAAAAATTGCTCATGTGGCTTGGGGCCAATGGTCAGCCTTGCTACAGCGATAAGTTGCTTCATTGTGATAAAGTAGTCACGAAGTGACTTCTTCACACACAATAAACTAATTCATTGTGAAACAAAAGTCACAAATCATGGAAGTAGCTTCTCCGCATATGCAAGTTATATTATATACATTTGAATATTTGATCCTTCACAGATTTTGAAGGAATTGCATGTGTCTGAAGATGAATTTTTTACTGCTTTAAGATATCTGACACCACCACTATCGTCAACCCAAAAAGAAAAAGAAAAAAAATAGAAAATGGGCCGCTTGAAGTACAAGGTTGGTTGCATGGTGCAGGCCTTGACCAGAAGTTTGGCCCAACCCAAAAGTTGTCTACCACCAGGTGCTGACTGCTGACTGCTGACCATTCTTCTTCTCAAACACGCTCGAAGACAGAAAAAAGCTACTCAGGGATTTTAGGGTTTTGAAGCTTCCACCGATCGATTCAAGAACGTAAAGGTTCATTTCTAATCTGTCTCCTGTTTATTTCACCGTCTTTTCATTGTCACGTTGACTGATTGAACTCTAAACCGTAACCCTCAAATGAATTTCTGAGAAAAACGGAGGAAACTAAAACATAACAATAATATAGTACCGATGAGCTTGTTGTTTAGCAAAGCGAGTCTTGTCTGGCAAACAATTAAAATATCTTTAGAAGTTCCATATTTTTATGTCTTTTCTTTAGCTTTTCCTACATTTTCCGGGAACCCAAACGGAGCCTAATTTGATCCTCCTTCACATAAACCGGTTATCGCATCCTAAAGCTTGTTCCCTTATGAGGAATTGATTTGGTTTTGGGAATTAATTCACTGGCCGAGCAATTTTTTGGGTAGAAATTGTACAATTGTTTGGTTGTTATGATGAATCAGAATTCCTCATTCTTATTATACAAGTGAAATAAAAAAATAAAAAAAAGAAGAAGAAAAAATATCAAAATCTTGTGGTTCCTATGTGATCTTAGTTGTGGGTTTTAGTTTTGTTATTATTATTTGGTTAGGCGTGGGTTTTAGTATTGATCCTATACTATTTTCTATGTTATGAGAGGGCCGTTGACTGGTTCAGCGGTTCAATGCTTAAACGTTAATGCTGTTGGTGCAGTTTCGAGGATTGTGCTGTAATAGGACCAGAATTGGGTAATGTCGTTTCTAAATATTGGATTCACTCTAGGTAGATTAATGTAGAACTGAATAGTTGAGCAGCATGTCATGAGATTTATGTACCCTGTAATGTTGAGAAACCAAGTATTTTGTTTTTGTTAGTATTATTGGTTTCCGTGGTTATATGTATTTTTCTTGCTTTGATTTTCCTAACGTCTGTTATGCAGTTTTGAGAGTTGGGTCACTTGGTACTGGTATAATACTATATCCCTTCTTTGCCGTGCACTTATGAGTTTAGTGCTTGTATGCTTAGCTACGTCATGAAGAGATTTTGTACTTTTTACATGGTTATTTTGCAATTTATGTAGACTTGTTAGTTATAAAATCTATAATGGAGAAAGTATTTATTAATGAGCTGTGAGCTTTTGCTTCATTGTTCTTTTGGTCGTAGGTAGAGGTATTGAACACTAATGCTGCGTTTGATTGGAGGGAAAAAAAATTTGATGGAAGGGAGAGGTGGAGCGATGGATGAGGCATCCCTAGGGAAGATAAGGTGTCTCCCTCACTTTTTGTTTGGTTGAATGGAATGGATAATAAAAAGGATGAATAGGGTGAAACAATTTTTTTGTTTGATTGGAAGGAAGTGAAGGAGAGTTTATATATTTTTTTACCAATATAGTTTGCGAGAATTTCATTAGGGTTTAACATGTGATTTTGTAATTAATTAAAGGTTAAATTTGGTATTAGATATTTGTGTTGTAGCTTTTCTTTCTTTCCCTTCTCTCTTCTGCCCAATTTTGAACAGATAAAAAAGTTTCCAAAAACATTGTTTAGCAGCATCCCTCCTTGCATCCTCCCTTTTTTCCTTCCTTCCAACCAAACAAGGGAAACTTCTTCTACCCTCCTCTATTCCATCCTTTCTCAATCCTTCCTTTCAACCAAACATAAATCAAAGTGTGGGAGGTAGGTTGGTTTCCTAATCTATTTTTCCATCATGTCATTATGCTATCTTAAAAATAATTGCAAATGGTTAGGCATATCCTTGTCTACAGTTGTTTTGAGGGAAATGGATAGTGCTCTGGAGTATGGACTAGACCTTGATATTGAAGCTATGTCAAAGTTTTAAACCTTATATATATGATCTCCACTATAACCTTAATGTATGCTTTGAAGCAGTACAGTTGCATATTTGCATTACAGCTGGTAAAAGACCATTAGCTTGGATTTAATTTGGGTGATCTGGTGTGTCCCATAATTCATAAATAATTATGAGTATTTCAGTCACTTAATTTGCTTTTTTTTTTTTAATAAATATTTTTAAAATTTGTCTTTATTTTCCAGATTTGCTAATATTTGGCGCACTATGCACACAAGAGGAGTAAAGACAATTTTATAAATGTAATTATCCCAAAAAAGAAATTTTTTTATTTATAAATGTATCATTAATTTTCTGTGGATGACTTGTTTGAAAAGTTGACCTTGGTTTTATGTCCCTTATTGGACATTAAACTTTATTTATTGATTTCCCGTCACTCTCAAATGAGATTCCTGCTGCTAGTTGATACTATTTTATCATTGCCTCACCCTCTAGCCTTTATAGATCTAAAACATCATTCCTCAGATCCAATGTTATTGTTGGTTGAACCAAGAACTAACGATTGTAAAAAAAATTCAAGCAAACAACTTCCTGAACTTTCTCTTTATGGTACTGACACAATAACGTTAGTTCTAATACCAAATTTTGATGTTGGATGGGACTAGTACTAACAAGTTGAGGTTGTTGAGCAAAGAACTTTAAAAATAAAAAACACGAGCAAGCGTACAACATGTGAGAGGCTTACTTCATATCAGGATTCATATGTTATATTGCTGTACTTCTCTTTTTAATGTTTTTTTTTTTTTTTTTACTTAGTTGATAATAATTAATATATTGCAGCAGTTTTCTTGACTCTATTGAACAAATTAAATAATGAAATGTGATTATTAGAACACACACACACACGTATATAGTTATATATAAATATCTAGAAGGAACCATAGATTTTTTTGAATAATTTAACAAAACCAAGTATAAATTGGTCATCTTTGTGCTATTCATTCAAAACTGCGCCAGTCACTGACCCTTTTCAGTGAACAGTTCACGGGTCAACTGGTATAATAGTTAGTTGACTAGGCAGACCTGTCAAAGATGTAATGTATAAATTTGCATAATATTACCAACGGTGATGCTGGCTGCTTCTGTGCCCTAAATGCATTTCAGGTTGAGAGTTTGTTGTCTTGTGACCGCATGTCTCAGCAGCAATATTATTTTACGTTATACGAGTTTGTCTTAATAGATGAAGCGAAAACATCGACAATTGCTTATGAAAAAAAAAAGAAAAGAAAGAAAAAGAAACATCAACAATCTGTGTTGAGGGGTTTTATTTTTTGGTAGATATGTTACGTATAGCTAAAACAGTCAAATGGCTAGTAACTTCTTTGGAGTTTAAGAAACCAGATTTGCATATATAATTCAATGAATACTTATTATGTATGACAAATATATACTGTTTTTATAGCCATATGGCCCTTACCATATGATTAAATAAGGCTCTATTGAGCTGAGTTATTCTAGTTCCTCTATCTTCTTTAGATATCTTTCATAAATATAGTGAAGTTACGCAGTAGAAACATTTTTTTACACACACACACATTCAGCTGTACATACCATTCTATTTCGACAATAGATGGGATTTTCAAATGGTACTTTGTGCTTTGCACACCTTAACAATTTTTTATTTTTTGATAGGTAAGTAGTAAACACCAAACCAAAGATTTTCAAAAAGAACATATAATAGTTTATCATAATTAAATATCACTAGCATGACCTTCACGTTTTTTACTGTCGACATTGAATAAGCTTAACGAGCTTAAGATTGAGGCTGCTTTTAATCAACTGCAAATGTAAAGAAGCTGATTGAGCTTTCAATTGGAGTTATAAGATAAATGCTCTTTTGTATGTTTGTTTTTATATTTTGTTAAATCATGTGGAAGAACATTATTTTTACCTGGTTGGCTGAATTAGTTGGAAGTGGCCCACTTACATGAGTAATGCTATATTTTTGTTGCATTTCTTTGAAAATATCCTGCCAAAATTTTTGTTTAGGCCATGAGGAACCAAGTATGATGGAGGAGTACACTATATAATGGTTTGACATATTTGAGGATCTACTTCTGGTGATTTTAACTAGAAAAGTCTCACAGCAAAACTTTTCTGCTCTTCTGTTTCATATGTTTTGACATAGTAGTAGTTATTTATTTATTTTAAAGTTCTGGTAGGATTTTTATAGGATTAGTACGAAACATTTCCAATGCATGAACAATCTGCCAATGACATAGTCCTGAACATTACTTTTCTGACTAGGTGGTAGGATTTGGTGTGAATTATGGGGTATCTCTCTACACATTATGTAACTGGAACACTCAATTTTTTACCTTTTATTTACATGCAGTTGAAATAGTTAAAACAATTCCGATGGCATTAGTTACTTTGGAACTTGAGCATTATTTTTTCTGTGCTTTTCTCCATTTCTAAAACTCTGCTCAGATCATGCTAGATTAGGTTTTTTTCAATACAGCTTTTATCCGAGGATACCTGATTCCCAATGTTCAACTTTCACTTATTTTGTTGGGGTTCTAGTTCTCAACAGAAGAAACCGAGTACTTCTGAGGCTGCAGCACTAGGGCACTAGGGTATTTGCTGGCCGGCCTTAAAGTTCTCAATTTTGATGAGAAAAACCTCATTCAGATTTTGTGTATCCCTAATCTGTTCCTCTCAGTTATTGGGGTGGCTTTTTTGTGTTTTGCCATTGCGATCTGTATCCAAGCCCTGACAAACAACTAATTCAATTATTGTTGGTTTAATTTGCAGGTTTGAGGTCATAAAAAGGCAGATCACTTGCTTTCCATATGGCTGGGTTTTTTCAGTTTGGCAACCTTGCTCCCAAGACCAAGAACATGGTGGTCGCTGGAGGCTTGACAGCTTTCGTCTTTGGAGTGTATTTCTACACCATGAGAGCTGTTGGAGGTAACGATGAACTTCAGGTGGCTATCGATAAGTTTGAACATGAGAAAAGCAAGAATGAGACCTTGCCCTCCAAATCCTGATCTTTCTTATGCATTCGTGTGATCATGTAATTAAGAAAACGGTACTAGTTGACTCAAAAACATCATACCGGGGCCTCTCAAATAATTTGTCCAGTAAAAGTAGAAGAAAATGGATAATGGATTCTGCTTCGACTAACACATCACACTACATGCAGAATAGTGTTTTGGACCAAGAGATTGAGCTTCGGTATCCATGAAATCTCTTTTTTGTATTAAGAAGTCTTTGGATTTGTTTGAAAATGGAGTTTTTGTAGGGAACACAACCTTTTTGTGTTGATTTTGATGTTCAAAAAGTTTAATAATGTTTGATGATAGAGTAATAGTTATTGTAGTTTTGGTAATGTAGCAATGTTGATGAATGATTTGTACAAGTTAGATGCTGACTTGATCTGTGACCTTCTCACTTGGTGTTTCCTGTTTGATGGTGCCCTGGAGATCAAACAGTCAGCTTATTCAGGAATATCCAGAATAAAGAATAGATATTGGGCACGGTAAGTGCTCATCCAAATCGTAAGTGTTGTGGACGCATGCTTGCGCTGGGTGCGCACAATACCTTCTTCAGAATAATAGGGTTAGCTGAATCAGACTTGCTCATGATATTGCGGCACCCAGTGGGATATGTTCCTCAGTGGATTTGGAACATCGAAACCGTTGATCTTAAAAATGATTGCGACCATTTTTGGGATACGTGAAAATTTGTTAATAAAGAGAGTTCATGACAAGTGGCTCTTGTGCTTAGAGGAATTTCTTAACGTCACTACTCAAAACAATCACAGATGATGTATACAAATCCATAATATATACTCCTTTGTCCCACAAAAAAATGTCATGTTTTGGAAATCGTTGAAAATCGTGAGCTTTTCATCTCACAAAAACTATTATGTTTTGGGAACCCATATGAATACAAATCCATAATATATACTTCTCCGCCCCATAAAAAATGTCATGTTTTGGGAATCGTGAATTCTCCGTCTCACAAAAAATGTCATGTTTTGGGACGGAGGGGAATGCAATTTGAAAAACATGACATGGTTTCCAAAACATGACATTTTTTGTGGGACGGAAGAAGTCTAAAATTGCAGTAAGAAATTTAAAGAAATGGAAGAGAGGAAAAAATAAGAAGAGAGAAAATTATTACTACGTATATTCATCATAAATGATATATGAGTGTAAGAAGTAAAAAAACGAAAAATGAGATAACTTTGAAGGAAAAAAATAAGATTGGTTGAAGGAGGGGAATGCAATTTGAAAAAGCAAAATAGAAAAGGTGAAATTTAGAGAGATTTTTAGAAAGAGGAAATTTCAGGAGGACGTTTTGTAAAATTTTACAAAATAAAAACAATAAAGTATAGAAATTAAATAAAAGAAAAAGAAAAGAAAAGAAACATAATGCATCTGTTTCCGAAAAATTATTAGATAATACGGGACCATATTCTCGACCAATCACAAACACAAATATGTTAGTTTTATTTAATATTTTATTTGTTTGTCACCTCTTCCTCATTGTTTAGGGGCTGAAAATATAAGGATCAGTTTAATTTGCTTAAAATAATTTTGTAGAAAAGATATAACGGTCCTGAGATTCCCAAAAATTTTAGAGGTATTAGATTAACTTTCAAATGCGAGGCACTTTATAAGGTTTAACAAAATTTAAAAAATAATTTTAGAAAACAAAATTTTTAAGGAGGGCATTATATGAATTTTTTCATATATACATCTAAAAATACATAAATTTAATATATGTATTATAGTAAGCACTGGGCATACATTGGCTCTGCCCCTGAATACATAAAATGAGAAGATAAACACATAAAATATATTAATGTTGAAAAAGTATAAAACAAAATTAAGTTGTTTATATAAAAAAAATTAAAAGAAATATTCAACACAACTTAGTCAAAAAAATTAAAATTCAACTTCATATCAAAGTAAGTATGATCGTCTTGCATTTTGAGCTGCAAAATTATCAATTAAAGTGCTCTAATCGAGTTTGTTCAATATATATTTTTCAATAAATATCATAACCAATCATTCAATCTCTTATAACATTTTAAAAATAATAACTTAAAACTTTTTATAAAATCAAATACTTTAATTGCTTTTTTTATTCCTCAGTAAAGTTTTTCTTAAAACTTGTACTTTTGAAAACAATTCGATTGTTGGTTAAATGAGGCCAAAAATAATATTATAAATTAGTTTTTGAGTTTAAATATAACAATTATGGAATACCCTTTTGGCGACTATTTTTATGATTTTAATTAAGTCAATTTTGGCGACTATTTTTATGATTTTAATTAAGTCAATTTTGGTGACTATTTTATGTAGTCTATAATTTTCCCAAAACCCTATTCATAAACAAACTTAAATTTGACGCATTACGCTAGAGAGGGGAGAGAAGAGAGAAGAGGAGAGAGAGAGATGGTAGACGCAGGAGACTCTGCCTGCAAAAAAATCCCTCGCATCCTCTCTTCTTTCGTCGACACATTCGTCGACTTCTCCGTCAGTGGTCTTTTCTTACCCCCTAACTCTAACGCTAACCCTAACCCTAATTCTTCTGAACCCAACCCAAGTCTCCCCCCATCCTCATCTCCACCACAAACCATACACCCCTCGCCGGAACGTCTTATCGCCGTCGGCGACCTCCATGGAGACCTCGACAAATCGAAGCAAGCCCTCAGACTTGCCGGCCTAATCGATGCCTCCGACCGATGGGCCGGCGGCTCCGCCACCGTCGTCCAAGTCGGCGACGTGCTCGACCGCGGCGGAGACGAGATCAAGATCCTCTACTTCCTCGAGAAACTGAAGCGGGAAGCCGAGAGGAGTGGCGGGAAAATCATCACCATGAACGGCAATCACGAGATCATGAATGTGGACGGCGATTTTAGGTACGCCACACTCTCGGGTCTGAATGAATTTAGGGTTTGGGCCCATTGGTACCGCATTGGTAATTCAATGAAGAGTCTGTGTGATGGGTTGGTGAAACCGAGCGACCCCTTTGATGGGTTGCCTTCGGTTTTTCCAGGTGTTAAGAGTGAATTTCATGATGGTATTAGGGCTAGAATTGCTGCATTGCGTCCTAATGGTCCTATTTCTAGTAGATTTCTTGCTAGAAACTTGACTGTTCTAGTTGTTGGTGAATCTGTGTTTGTTCATGGAGGGCTTTTACCAAAACATGTTCTTTACGGGTTGGACCGGATTAACGAAGAGGTTAGGGATTGGATTTCTGGATTGAAAGAGAAGGTTTCGTCGCAATTAGTTAGAGGGAGGAATTCAGTTGTTTGGTTGAGGAAATTCTCTGATGAATTGCCAAATAACTGTGATTGCTCTGCTCTTGAACATGTCCTTTCCACAATTCCTGGTGCAAAGAGGATGATCATGGGTCATACCATTCAAGAGAAAGGAATTAATTCGGTTTGCGATGATAAAGCAATTCGGATAGATGTGGGTATGTCAAAGGGGTGTATTGATGGGTTGCCTGAGGTTTTAGAGATCAATCGGAGTTCGGAGATGAGGATATTGACATCGAACCCCTTATATCAGAATATATATGATCCTACTAGGAAGGAAGGGCTTGGTTTCTTGATCCCTGAAGGACCTAAACAGGTAGAAGTGAAGGCTTAGGCTTTGAAGAATTTGAACTCAATAAGACATTTTTGTCTTTTTTACTCAAGACTCTCTTTGGAATATAATTATTTTATAGGAATTAAATTGTCGTCTCAAAAATTGTAAATTTTCATATTCTAATCGGTTAGTGATGTTGGAATTTTGTCAATTGATGGCACTTTGGTTATATTCAAGTAGTTCAATATAATTTAGGTGATTGTTTATGTTCAAACCATGATTCTGATGACCCCCTCTTAGCATTTACTCACAGTAAACAAATTGCTTGTTTGATGAATTTTCCACAATAGTGAAGTCAGGTCTAGTGACCAAAAAGTTGGGTCATTAATAAATGCTTTTATGTTGTTATTTTGGATGAGGATTTCACTTCACAGATGGGCCATATTAATAAATGCTTTCATGTTGTTATTCTGGATGAGCATTGCTCTTCACAGTTGTTGTGGAGATATTGGTGTTATATAATTGTAATCTGATATGCCTTAGTAGTTGCACAAAATTATATATATGAAAGGAAGAATAATCTGTATAATGACAGGGTTTTGCTAAATGTTGTGATAAATTGGCAGTTCATTTTGATGGTAAGGTATGAAGTTTGATAGTAGCTAGCAGCAAATTTGTTGGTCCTCATATGGTGAGACACAAAGGCCATTCATTAGGAATTATTGTAAATGAGCACTTGGTTTCAAAATTTAGCTGTTCACAAACTCTATCTCTCTCTCTCTCATGGGAGTGTGTGTGTGTGTGTGTCTCTCTCTCTCTCTCTGTCAGTCACTCTCTCTCTCTCTCTCGTGAGAGTGTTTCTCTTGCAAAACTATGGAAAACATGCTAAGTATGGAGGCTTTGGGAAAGTTTTCATTTAGAGGTCTGGACTTTGAAGCTTTGAGTTCCAAGCATACGGAACCATTTGAGCAACCATATAGTCCAAGTAAGTTATTTATCTTTATGCTTCAAATTCTATATGATAGAACATGAGAACACTTACTACATGTTGAACTAGGTAACTACTTATCAAAAAAAAAAAATTGTTGAACCAAGTTACTTAAAAAGTGAAATTGATTTTTTTTTTTTTTTTTTCTAGGTTCTAAATTTTTTTCTCTAGTTTGTGCCAAACCCTAGTAGTCTTGAACTGGAACCTCTGGTTTCTTCAATTGCATAAAAAATTCGAAAGTAATGTCATTATCAGCTTTTACTAAGACAAGGATTTTGTCCACATGCCTGGTGCCTGGTCGTCTGGTAGAGTTTCTAATGAGGTTGAAGTGAAATTTTTACAATGAGAAGGCTCTGACTTTGCTGTTATGAAGAGCTTCTCCAGACACAATTGCTATAACTTAGGTTCTATGGACATGCTTTACTAATGGTGTCAAAGTTATCAATGGACAGAGTTGGATGGATGCTGAAATTCTAAATATACTGAATTGCTGGTGAAGTTGAGAGGCTATGGTTAGCCTAGAGTTTTGATAATTGATGGCACTTTTTTTTCTAATTATATGCTATTATTAATATTATAAATAAACTATGAAGGCCACAATGCATGGATTTTTATCAACTTGGCTTTTTCAACAAATCAGCTGTTATATTCTTGTCAATTAGTTTTCCTTGTGGTAATTCTAGAGTTTTGAAGACTGTACTTCATTAGTTCTGCAGAAACATTGAAATTTACTGCAATGTGAATGCTTTTAACAGGGGTTCAATCGAAGGTTTAGGTTCACTTTTTAAGCTCATTAGAACCTGCAGAGGTGGTTTCTACAAGAATCTCTCTTTTTTATTTTTGCTAGTTCTTTATGATTATCATGGAAGCTCACATGAGCTTGATATCTGTGTATTTTGCTGTACAGACTATCAAAATTCAGTTTCCAAAATTAGTTCATAGAACCACAAGCTTAAATTTTTTTCAGGTAATTGCCCGGTGCATGTGAGACGGGTGGACTGCATGTGACCGGTGGTGGATTATGGGGTGCTTTAAGAGGCCCGACACCACCATCAACCCCCCCGAAAAAAAAAGGTAAGCCACTCTCCCCCTTGTTTGAGAAAGATATGCCACGCAGGCATGTGGCTAGAGTAAGGCGAAAAATGTAGGCTCTTGCCATTAGGTTTTACTGAATTTTGAACCTATGCCCCTACTTATATGCCTCTACGGAACTTAAACCATTGACCTTTTACATTGAAAGTTGAGGATATACTACTGTACTAGGCTAGTTCTCTGTAGTTGCAGAAACGCTGTTAGTTTCTCATTTCATTACAAATGAAGGGCAGGTCCTCCAAGTAGAATTTTCACATTGCCTGCTTTTTAAATTAAAATGATGTAAATATTTTATATGTTTGATATAATAAATGGTATGTATCTTCTTCTAATCTCTTTGATGTGGATTGGTCTGTTGGCCTGGTATTGTTAGTCGGACTTCATCTATAAGAGATAAAGACAAGGATGATAATGATGATGTGGTAGCATTTTGTAATGGAATTGATCGGTGATGTGATCTTTTATTGTTTATAATCGTGGTAAACCATTAGAACTAATATGATGATATAACCAAGTTTTCAATTTTTTTTTTTTTTTTTTTTTTGGTGGTAAAATATCATGTCACCTTCAGTAGTGCATGTATTTCAGTTGCGACCAGCCACACACACGCACACTAATGTTTTTATTGTTTTTTCAATGTTATTCTGATTGATTTGTTTAGCTGTTTAAGTGAAACCAGAGAAGAAAATAATGTCTATTGTGATGTTTTTTGATACAAGCATCAAGTAAAAGAGTAACTAAAAGTTAACAATTATAACAAGTGAAATAATATCTCATTAAGTCAAGACTTCAATCACTTCACTGTCCTCGATGATCCAACTATCTTTCCGAAGATCCGTGTACATTCATAAAAGAAAAAAAAATTGATATTACTTTTGTAAGGGGAAAAATTAAATGATTTGTTTTAAAAAATGGAATTTCAAATTTCTGTTTGTTCCCAATTTAGAGATTCCTTAAGTATTTTTCAAAGTCTATAAAATATGATTTTTTTTTTTTTTTTTTTTTTGAACTTTTAATACATGCTATAATTTATCTTTTCAAATATGAACTACCAGGTCTAATCCCACATTGAATTCCAACAATTCGAAATGATATATTGCAATTTTGAGTTTCGAAGTTTAAAAAATTTAGTCATTTAAGAATTCAACATAAGGCCATAAAAAATAAAAAAAAACATATGTATGCATATTTTTTCAAATAAAAATTTACACTTAGGAAACATGTATGTGGACACTGATAATAATATATTTTTTTTCATCTTTTTTGAATTAGAGTTTTTTATTTTTGTAAAATTTATATTATTATTTTTAATTAACTCATAATGTATTGAATTAAAGTAAATACCATTTCCTAAGAAAAAATAATTAGAAAATCAACGAAAGTTTGGGTCTCTAACAATTGCGTATAACGAAAAAAAAAAAAAAAAAAAGAAGCACAGTTAAAACCCACGGTTGACTCAAATGGTAAGACACATGGATTTGGTGTATCATGAAATATTGATATTCTTGGGTGTAGTGACTTAATTAACATAGCGTTCAATTTTTTAAGGATGTGTTTCCATGTTTGTGTTTTTCTTCCTTTGCTTTGCCTGAAAAAAAATAAAAATAAAATATATATATATTTTTTTCTTACTATCCTGCATGCAGGTGAAAGTGACACAATCTTAAAATGGATTATAGAAATCTTAAAATAAAATTGAGCTTTGTATTATTGTTATGTAGGTGATTATATATATTTAATTTTTACATATATTTACATTAATGCAATATATATATTTATATAAGTGACACAATCTTAAAATGGATTATAGAAATCTTAAAATAAAATTGAGCTTTGTATTATTGTTATGTAGGTGATTATATATATTTAATTTTTACATATATTTACATTAATGCAATATATATATATATTTGTTGCATTATTTGCATGTATTTTATTTTATTGTATTGTATTTTATTTTATTTTATTGTTCAAAAGGTTTTATATACTGTTACATTTGGTGTGTAGGAATGGAATGTTCATTTCAACCATTCCTTTGTTTGGTATGCAACTTAAAGTGGGAATGATCATTCCATTAGAATGAAAATCCATTCCACAACTAAACCTATGGAATGGCTATTCCATTCCCAAGTAATTTATTTTAAACAATCAACTTCCCAAAACACCCTCATATTCCAAGTCCAAAAACCACCATTACCTTCCACCACAATAAACTCTGCCTTTCATCACCACCACCACTACCACTGCCTTCCACCACCACCTATTTCCACCACCACCGACTTTCACCATTGCCCACCACTTTCCACCACCACCACCACCACCGCCACCGCCTCTGTCTTTCACCACCACTACTGCCACCGTTTGCCGTAACCACCACCGCCACCTTTCACCACCGCTACCGCCACCACCTTCCACTACCACCACTGTCATTGCCTTTCACCACCTTCTACCACCATCGCTGCCATCGCCTTTCACCACTACCACCACCTTCCATCATCATCACTGCTACCGCCTTTCATTACCACCACCACCTTCCACCATCGCCACCATCACAGCCCTACACCACCACCGCCGCCTTCCGTCACTGCCATCGCCACCTTTCACCGCCACCGCCACCGCCGCCACCTTCCACAACCACCAACGCCGCCACCATCGCCTTCTACCACCACCATCGCCTTCTACCATCTTCTATCACTGCCACCACCACCACCATCCACCTTCCACCATCGCCACTGCCACTGCCACCGCCACCACCTTTCACCACCACTACCGCCTTCCACCACCGCCATCGCTACCATTACCACCACCGCCACCTTCTACCACCACTACCATCATCACTACCTTCCACCACCACCACTACCATCGCCACTTCTACGCCCTTCCACCACCGCCACCGCCACCGCCACCACTACCACCACCATCGCTACCTTCTGCCACCGCCACCATCGTCACCACCTTCCACCACCACCACCACCGCCACTTCCACTGCATTCCACCACCACCACCATAATCACACCACTATCTCCTTCCACCACAACCACCACACTACTTCCACTGCCTTCCACCAACACCACTGCCATCTTCCACTACCATTGTTGCCACCAATTTCCACCATTGCCACCACCGCTGCCTTCCAACACTACCACCTACACTACTACAGCTTTCCACCATCCAACATCGCCACTGCCACCATTTATTTTTAAAAAATTATTAGAGAATATCATTTTGTTAATTTGATTTAATTTATTTAGTACTAAGAGGGATATTTTGGAGAATTCAATTAGAAATTTATTCCATTCTAACTTTTAAATTGGTACAACCAAACACTAGAATGGTTATTATCATTCCATTCCTACACATTTCATATTTACAACCAAACAATAGAATGAGAATGACAATTTCATTCCATTCCCATTCTCATTCCATTCCCACTTGCAATCCATTTCATTCCTGCACACCAAACATAACATACGTGTCTGTAATTCTGTTTCGTATTGAAAAGGTATTCGGTGTATTCGCTGTACCATGTTTCGGACATATAAGAGCCGTATATGCATGACAAGCACAAAAATGAACACTTCAACCAGTGCACGATGCACCACCTACACCGGATATATTCTCGTATTCGCTGTACCATGTATCGGACATATAAGAGCCGTATATGCATGACAAGCACAAAAATGAACACTTCAACCAGTGCACGATGCACCACCCACACCGGATATAAGCTCATCAATTTTTTTGTTTTTTTTTCAACAATTAGGTCATCATTCAATTAGCAAATACGGAGTACTATACAACAGTAGTATGGGCAATTTAGACAATTTGCTTGAGTAGGGTTAGGGTTTCTCAACCAGCGCCTATTTAAACACACCAAGCCAAGTGCCTCACCATTTACATTCGACTGCGAGAAAAAAATACACAGCGCGACTCCTCTCTCCCTTCTTCCTTCTCAAGTGTCTCTCTTTGTTAATTCTTTTTAGTCTTTATTAATTTATTATTGTTTGTGAATGTTAGTTGATTTGAAAATCTTTTAGTATGTGTGAATTGATTTCAGTGTTTGTTAATTGATTTTTTTGAAAAAAAAGCCAATTTGCAGAGCAAGAGCGTCTGTTCAGATGACGATCACTTGCATTGAAGGTTGGCAATATCATACAGCGATTCTCCGTGCCTTTCAAATCTATTTCTTATTTTGATTACGGCCTCGAACAAATCGCTACATTCTTTTTCACTCACTCTCTCTCTCTCTATATTCTCCTCTACATCTTCTATTTAAATTAAGAAGAAATTTTAAAAATTATATAACAAATCTAAGGATACACCCCCCTTGGCAACCAAGGACACGGATGAAAGTTAGCTCTCTTGGGACAGCGACACTCTTTTGAAAAGATTTCATCTAAACAAGGCCTTAAATCAAGACAAAATTATCTCTTAATATTAAATTTAAATCTATTACAAAATATCATATTTGTGAAAATATAGCAATTGCCCCTACCACAAATTAGCGCCAGATTAACAACCCTAATCTTTCATTTCTTCTCCCGTATGCCCCTCTCTCTCTGTCTCTGCTCGAAGATCTGGTCCACCACCGGTCCGTAAGGCAAGCTGCGGAGACATCGTCGTCTTACGTCGCCTGGCTACACGAACCCGACCTCCCGAGGTACCTCCAGAATCGGTCAAGATCCAACACAAGGCGGCGCCGGTGAGGACAATCTGCAGATCGCTGCCGGAATCGATGGGGTCACTGGAATCCATGGAGGCCATAGTTTCCGATGAGATGAGTCTCTCCTCTCTCCGTTCTCTCTTCCTCCTCTTGCTACCCCAACACCAACACACATATATATATATATATATCCTGATCTCATCGTTACAGAGAGGTGCAACCAGAAGACTTTGCTTGTAAAGAGCTTCGATCAAGGAAGTACTCAACGAACTAACTGGTTCAATCCGAATCAGGAGGGAAAAGCTGAGGCCTAAACTTTCTTCCCTGAGCCTTGATCAAGGGAAGTTTTCTTTGTTCCTAAATTTTGTTTAGGAACTTCATAGGCTTCCGCAAGCCCTAAATTATTATTATTATTTTTTGGTAACGTTCAATTTTATTTTATTTTATTTATTATTATAATTTCTTTACCGTTGGTTTCTTTACTAAATTTTGTTCCCCCCTTTTTTTTTTTTTTTTATTTTTTTATTTTTTATTTTTAAGGTGATTTCTTTACTAAATTTTGTTCCTATTTTCTTTACAAAAAAATATGAGGTTTTGTTACTGTTTTGTTTTGTTTGTTTGTTTGTTTGTTTGTTTTTTTTTTTTTTTTTTTATACCAAAATTTTATTATT